TAAAGAAATTCAAGCTGTTTACTATTCATGTCATGAACTCTAGTAAGTTGTAACTATATTATGGTATTATTTGATCAGCGTGTTGGCTATTATTATTGGGAATCAATTTTATCTGTGAGGTAATCACAGGATTAAATTGCAAAATATTAAGCAGGTCTTGATCAGACTACTTAGCCTATCCAAAGTAGTAGAAAATTTGGCAGAAGCCACCCATAAATTGGGTAAAACAACTGGGAAGACATCAAAGTTCAGCTGTTACTAGTTACTACAACCTGTTATCCTTTTCTTTATTGAAAAATTATATATCTCTGCATTCTGTAATTTTTGCAAATTAGCCTATGTCTATGTGAACGGGCAAAGCTGCAAAGCAATCGTTTCTGCCTGCAATCTTAGGAAACTTCTGCTTAGTAGTTCTGCCAATTTCCCAATATTTCATATTGATTACAGATCTTTATAGTATTATTAGGTACTCAAATAGCTAAATAGGTAGGGCTTGATAGTCAAGACTCAAGATGGAAAGCCATGGAATGGCTGCATGGCAATCAAAATTATTTCTATAACAGTAACTTTTACTTTTAGGGATATATTTTATGGGTAGTGAACTAATTAAAGACAGATAAGAAAAATATCAACTTTCTCAGCTTCTCAAAAAACTCCACTTCCACTGACAGTTTTGGAGCCAAAGTAACCTGCATGATTTCTTTTATATGAATTGCATATTTCCTGATATTTTTACCTCTCTGACAGGGAGCCAGAAATAGTGGAAATACTTCAGTCATGTCACAGAGACAGAATTAGATATGTTTCACCCCTACTACAAGTGTTCTTAACTCCCAACCCTGAAGTTTTATTTTTTCAATACAAAAACATCCATGAAATGCATTATTCAAAGACAATGGCAGGAGCACAATGAATGGCTCCAAAGTCTAGGGTGGAAAATATTGCTGAGCTGCAACTGGATTGTAGGAGTTCCAATAATAATGACTTTGCATCTAGGGAAAATAGCAAGTGCATTTTTAAACACTGTAAACATTAGGCATATTCTAGATGAAGCAACTTTTTTGAGCTGCAATTGCAGTATCCAGCCATCTTTGATTATACTACAAAAATAGCAACAAATACATCTTCCTCCAATATAAAGGCAATTTTAAGCATGTAAATTTATTTTTTGATGAAAAGTTTTAGTCTTTTATTGTAGCAAGACAGGACCACAAGTCCACCACTATTTTCTTGTAGTTGCACAGGAGTCTGCTACAAGACTGTGGAAGTTCACATTTTAAGGAATGATATATTCACAAGCTGTGATGTTTTTGACTGAACCTAAATACATGACATCTGAGCTCCTAGTTCTGAAAACAAATTAAATTGAGACATCTTGTAGCTGTTACAGTACATATATATTATATAACCATTTTTATATCCACTGTAGCACAGTGGTTAGCCACACCTCCTCACTTACAGGTCTAATTCTAATTTATTCTAATTCTTCTAATTTATTTACAGGTGACATGGTGCAAAATCAGTCATCTACACATTGCGGTGCTGTTGTCTCAGGCTGTTTTTCTGCAAAGCATTACCAGTATTGTAAGTATTCAGCATGTGTTTTCCTTAGTAAGGCTCACATGCTGCCAAATGTTTGTTAAGTTTTTAAGTATCTCTTGTGTGTATTTATTATCTTGTATGGGATACTTACTTGAAAATGTACTTCAGGTAGATATCTGAGCAATTTCTCTGATGCATATATTGCAAAGGTTACTGTAATCATTATAAAGAATATAACTATAGGTTGCTTTAACTAAGTTTATTCTATCAGAGTTATGCGAGTATTTTTGGAGCAATTGAAATGAAAATAAGTGTAACTATATCCAACAAAAAATAATAAACCTTCAAGTAATTTAAGGCAATAAATTACTTAATTTAAGTTTATTATCACACTTATAATTTTTAGGCAGTTCAAACCCAGTGGGGGAATTATAATTGTGAAGAAGATCACTCAACATTTTCTGTCATATAAATGGAATGAGTTAAATAAGAAGATCATTTGTTATAATTACATTTTACTTGCAAACAATATTAAGAAGTCATTTGCATTTTCAGATGAACTCGTCATTGGAGCGAGCAGCCCTCCAAACTTCATGCTTAAGTGGTCCACAGTGGCAAGTGGCGCCTGCAATCGCAAGAGCAACATGAATTTCTAAGTCAACTTTACATTATGTAACATTCACTTTTGCAGGCTTCAAATATTTATACCTTTAGAAATTTTAACCTTAAACTATGCATAATTATATCGCAAGAGCAACATGAATTTCTAAGTCAACTTTACATTATGTAACATTCACTTTTGCAGGCTTCAAATATTTATACCTTTAGAAATTTTAGCCTTAAACTATGCATAATTATATGGAAATTTTTTCCTACAACGCATATACAAATAGAAACATTATAACCGTTATTTCAATAACTGTTAATAGTTTATGTTATTGATGTACTCATGATCAGAGCTTGAAGTGCAAAATTAAAGCAAGTAACGTGTGTTTAAAACTTCACAATATACAATGCGCAACTATCCCTTCCAAGTCATTGTATTCTTGTCACCATCAATTCAATGATCATTTTAACATGTAGCAGGATGCAATTGATGTTACGTACAACATTGGTTATTAAAGTGCCATGTATATATGCTATGAAGAACTCCTTCTAACATGTCACTGTAGAAACGTATAGTGATTGTTGTGGGATCAAGGATCGAATAAACTTGGGTATATATGCACTTACATCATAGAACAGCAGGGGTCAGGTCCATTCGTACTGGCTATTGCATAGAGACTGACAACACCTAGTCGCAGCCGGACCACATTACAACTTGCTACATGACGTCACGCACTAGTTCTTTATTACGACAGTGATTTTTAGCTCGTATCCGCAAAATACCATGACATCTGACATGTTTGGCTCAGGTTCATGTTTGGCTCAGGGTTAGCTACGATTCAAAGCTTACAACACTTGTAATACAGTCATTAACCTCTAGATAATCTGTATTTTATGCTAATGCATTTGTATCTGCAGGTTTATTCGCAGTGGTTTTATATATAAACAAATGCGAGTTTCTAATGAGTGATGAGCGTGTCTCTTTATTGTTAGAAATTTTGATCTCGATGCTATGTGGAGTGTTTAAACGAAACTATATGCAATAGTAAGTATTGGTAGGCATATATCCATTTTTACTAGTAGTACAATTTTGTTATTTAGATATAATTACGTTTAAAATAAACTGTATTTGAACTAAAAGCATTTTTTGCCATTGTTATAAAACTCAGTGCAATAACTTATGTGCCATAATTTCCTGCTTAAATAATTGAAATTTTTTTATGATTTAATTTCTACATGAAATGTAGTAAAAAAATTTAAGTGCAAGCTAAAATTATTAAACATAGCTTAGTTGAATTCCTAGCGTATCAGCATTTGAGCTTTATTAAAAAATTCTCGGCTTTTTGAGTAGATATTTCGCCACATCAGTTAATTCAAAATCTGTAATGTTGTGCCATCAATATAATGGGACTGAAATTATCACTCTGTGAGGTGCAGTATAATGTAACCCAGAGTTGCTTCCAGCGACCCCCCTAATGAAATGCAGAGATTATTTCATTATTGAATATTATTGTCGAGACAGTCATACATTGTCCACCGATGTGAGCGTTAGATTATTTTGCTTTCACATTCATGGAATCGTAAAGCACCGCCCACCGTCACATTATTAACTAAATTATTATAAAAAAGAATTCCCCCTTTTTCATAATCTAAATATTTTCTTCAGTTTGAACGAACACTGGAAACCAATAGCATAATATAATATCCTCTAACCATTACTATGAATTATAATTCGACCCTCTCATTAAAATTATTCATTCAAAGAGTGTTTCTTAACTGTATGTGAGCTTGTTTATAACTGCCTGATTTATATGAATTCGAAGGCAAATCACTTACAATGTATCCAGAGCAATGTTGTTGTCCGCAGTATTGCAACAAACTTATGTTTTGCCTGCTTGCTGTAAGTCTTTTATACATGAAAAATATTGTTCATCGGTCAACAATGCCTAAATGCTGGCATTTGAGAAGCGAGGCTCTTTTTTTATAATTGGTTTTAAGACTTGTGGTGTCCGAAGCACCTGCCAGCCTGTTCCCTGTCAGAGAGAAAGAGCAGAACACCAAACTTGGTACTTTGCTAGTTTAGAGTACAGCTTCTGGTGCCAATGTGCAAGTTATCACGGGACTGCAGCAGGCCTCACAGATAAAACTTGCTCATGTCAGGAGACTGAACCTGAGAGAAAATTAGACTGAACAAGACATAAGTCAATTATATATAGCTCTTTTGGCATCATAGTAAAGCCAGCATTTGAGACTGCAACAGAAATTGTGACATGTTAGAAAATACAAGAGGGCGCTTTGCTGCAGGGATCTGAGCTGCTAGGGCTGTGCTCAGTCTCCAAGGAACTGCAATGTCTGCCAACGCGGCAGCAAAGGCTGTTCTTGGTACTGCAAATCTGGTACATGTTAGCAGCAAGTGTGAGATATTGTATCTTCCTGGTTACAAATGGCACATATTGCATATATCCTTGTTGTTGTTAGTTGTATCTTCCTGGTTACAAATGGCACATATTGCATATATCCTTGTTGTTGTTAGTTGTATCTTCCTGGTTACAAATGGGACATATTGCATATATCCTTGTTGTTGTTAGTTGTATCTTCCTGGTTACAAATGGGACATATTGCATATATCCTTGTTGTTGTTAGTTGCCAGGAACTGCCGCTCGCCGGCGCCCCGTAAAGGCGGCGGCTCCGGGGGAGGAGGAGGGCGCGGAGGATCCACTCCAAGGATGTCGGAAAACGATGGGAGTGAGGAGAGGAATGCCGCAGTCGGTCCAGGGTTAGACCAGAGGTCCAGTAAGGTTAGCGAGGTGAGGTGCGATGGACAATATATGACTGGGCCCTTAAAGTGAACAGCATGCAGTGCAACGGGACCAAGTTTGAGGTTCTGAGGTACAGAGGTAGTGGAAGAGCAGGAATGGAGCTCCGCTACCTGGCACCTGACAACTCGAAAATCAAAGAGAAGCGACTCGTTCGCGATCTAGGAGTTTTGATGAACAATCAGGTCAATTTTGGTGATCACATAGCGGCAATAACCGCAAGAGGTGGGCGACAAATGTGGTGGATCTGGCGGGCACTCAGAACGAGAGAAGCGGAACCGATGATCACACTCTTCGGAGCCCTTGTAATACCTATATTTGAATACTGCTGCCAGCCCTGGACTCCGTTCACACTAGGCGCAATGCGCCAACGGGAAGGGGTCCAACGAATCTTCACTTCCAGGATCAGAGGGATGGAAGAGTTGAACTACTGGGAGAGGTTACAACGACTGGGTCTGTACTCACTGCAGAGGAGACGGGAGTGGTATGTCATTTTATACACATGGAAAATGATAACCAGAATGGCACCAAACTCAGAAAGCGAGACCTTTAAGATTGAGACACGCCATAACGAAAGAAGGGGAAGACTGTGCAGGATCCCCCCACTATACGTAACAGATCGGTGGTCAAATTTCGATCCCTGCGGAAAGGATCCCTTTCCGTGGCCGGGCCGAGGTTGTTTAATGTCCTACCAAGGGATCTAAGAGAGGTGGAGTTCACCCTGGAGACCTTCAAGAGACGACTGGACGTCTTCCTGGGCACAATCCCAGATCGACCTCCCCTGCAACACTACCAGCGGCGAGAAGCAAGCAACAGCATCGTGCATCAGGTGGCCCAAATGAGGGCGGATGAACGATAATCAGAGGCGGCGATCCATCGTGGCCTGGGACTGCTACGTCCCGAACAAATACTAAGGGAACTAAGGGCAGCTGAAGAGGTGATGGTTGGTGTATCTATTACGCCGCACTCAGGGCAGAGAGGGCTATTTTAGGGATACAATCACAATATGATTGAATCCTGTATATATAATAATAATACCCTTGGTTTATGGAGTCCATATTCAAGTCCTTCCTTAATTTCCCAGCATGAAAGTCGTCGAGTCACTGGAAAAGGCTCAATTCGATTCATTTGGATCGTGTCGTGCACATGTTGTCGCATGTTCTGTACGTCATACATTGCAAGCCCAGGGCGTCCTCCATACAAAATGTAGTCATGTTGTCTCATGTTCTGTACGTCATACATGGCAAGCCCAGGGCGTCCTCCATACGAAATGGTAGTCGCAAAGGGTTCGCCACGTATATATAATATACGGTCAAAAAATATCTCCGTATGAAGGAGAAATAAAAAAAAATTCAGGAGCTATACATCTCCGTTGGGTGGTTAGGATTTATATTCAAAATTTCGTTCATATATGTGCAGTAGTTGTGAGAAATTTCTTGAACTCTACGAATTTCAGCCCTTATCGCCATACAACTCACGAGTGAAGGCGAAATTTTGAAAAAAATCACAAGTTAAACATCGTTAGGTGCTAATGAATACGAATACCAAGTATCATCGAGCTGCGTTCGGTAGTTTAGGAGATATTCCTTGATCATTGAATTTGGAGACCGGCCGCGAGTCCGGGCGTAAATTGATCATTGAATTTGGAGGCCGGCCGCGAGTCCGGCCGTAAATTGATCATTGAATTTGGAGGCCGGCCGCGAGTCCGGCCGTAAATTGATTATTGAATTTGGAGACCTAGTTGTGAGCCATTGAAATAGTCATGGAGTGAATTTAAGTGTAAGCAATTTGAACGGCGTATTCTGAGGTACTGAGGCGCGTCTGCCTGTGAAAACTCGGTAACCAAGATACTGCAGATCACGTGACTTACGTACTGACGTGATGAGACAGACGGAAGGTGTACCAGTTCTCTAATCAAGTATTTCATAATTACATAATATCCCGCCCGCCTATACAGACGTACTCGGGATCAAAAATATATTAGAGTTCTTAGCAGTATGCTTGTTAATATTGGTAACGTGATTCGCACCCGACCCACAGCTACTGAGCACTACGTTGAAGGTCTGCGCAACATAGAAAATGGTTGCCTCACCAACTAATTTATTCTTGAATCACGACGTTCGAACATAACTGCATGTGACTTGCCTCACAAGTTTACGCATACATGCACATTTTCTGCTCATATACTATATGTAGTTCATTTCAGGATAATATTTTATATTATATCGTTTCTTATATGATAATATGGATATTCAGAAAAAAGCATATATACGCAGCAAATGAAAATTCGCCAATGAAGCTTGCAGGTAAGTGTGGTGTTGAACATACAAATTAGCATGTTAAAATGTTTTGACCATTTAACAAAAAAATCATGAAAGGAAAAATATAATAATTTTATTTGTAGATGGCGGATAATTGTGAGCTTCAGAACAAAGATGAAATTTAATTTGCTGATAGAAAATGTTTGACTGGATAGTTGGGGAAACGCTAACGAATATGATTTCCATATTCGCTGTAGAGGAAGCCTTCGGAAATTGTGAGTCAATCAATGTCGGTCGCGCACTTCTGAATTATCGATTATAGAAAGATGTGCAATGAGGTAAATTTTTAGAGAAAGTCCAAACTCATACGAGGGGTATTCTTCTCAAATCTTCTCATTCGACCAAACTGCGCATGCGACCAAATTTGCCTGCTGAGCTCAAAGGCATCTTTACTCGCGTCGGCAACTCTGTTAGAATGACAACTCACTCACTTGTGTAAAAACACGGCAAGTGCCAATTCTTTACACAAATTCACTGCCATTAGAATTATAATATATGAAATTATTCATATTGGAGTCGTTCTTAGGGGTTATGATACTGAATCCAGCCGATGGCTACGATGTTGAACTCCCGGCGGTGAATAATGATCCAGTTAGTGATAGGATCGTTTTCTAATGTGTCAATGGAAATTACCGTGTTCAGTAGTTCTGGGATGGGTTTTACTACTGGAATGGTTTTTGGAAATTAAAGTAGAACTAGATAGGTTTTTCATAAGAAAGTTTCGTGGGTGAGCTTATTTCATAAATGCTGTAAATGAAAATTTATAGACTTGGGTGATGTCTTTCAAATATAATGTAACTATTTTAGTCAGCGCATTTGCAATTTTGCATCTTCTTGTGGATCCTGCGATGAAGCTAATAATTACCTAAATTTTATATCAAATCATTATATTCCCTATGTGCGCTAGTTTATCTCATTATTCATTTTTGCAATAGAAATGTGTAATTTAAATTTACACTAAAAACTATGTAACATTTTCAACTAAAAAGCCATGCGGTAGCACCCTATTGCCTATGTTGCGATTTTTTTTATCTTCTATACCATAAGGCTAGCATATAAAAAGATCGATAAGAATTGGATTTAATCACAATATCTTCTAAATTGAATTTATGGTACGAATAATGAGCAGCGAATAAAAATTGGCATCATCCTGATTATTAGCTGTGAAATTTTGTAATACAGGACGTTTAGAGAGTCTTCAGGAGATTCACTTTACCGGGTAGAACGTTTGTGTCGAGCGGTCAGCGGTTCCGAGCTTATCCAGCGGCGTGCAGCTTTCAAGAAAGAGACTTGAGAGTGAAGTCTTTTGCTGCTTTATTAGTATTGAGAATTTTAAATTGAATCATTATCATGCCAAAGTAAGTAAAACTATACCCTTTGGAACAGTTACAGTAAATGTCTTATGTTCCACGCAAATCGTAGGTAATTCTTATGTATTGAAAATTTAGTGACAAATAGCTTACAAATTAATAAGTTGTTGACCTTTAGGAAGAGGTTTTAGTCTAGCTGAGTTTAGTTTTTACTCAATCCAAGAACATTCATAGCAGCCTAGGCCCTAGGCAAGTCCCTAGTAAAGTGTACAGTTTTACTGCATTTGTAAACAATGTTTTCTTTCTCAGCCTTGACTGGATTTAGGTATGAAACTGAGTTTATCACTCAATTTTAAAGGCATGGTGGGGGTGGAATTCAGTTATTTTTTCAGAATTTCAGATGGTGCAATAAATGTTTGTAAATGTTAAACAAGTAAAACAACCGCTTATGAAATTTAATTTCAAAATCTAAAACTATCGTTTCCTTTTATAATTTAGGGTAAACACACCTGGACATAGGGTAAACGCAGTATATTCCAACATCATGGGTAATTCCGTCACCTCTCTAGTTTTTCCTTTATATTAAGCTTTGTTTTAGTTCCATGCATTCGTTGATGGTTCCATCACCATGGTTTAGTTCCATGTGATTGATGGAACCATCAATCACATGAACTAAACCATGGTGATGGTTTAGTTCCATAGTGGCAAGCCAGGCAAACCAGTGATTTTTTAGAATCGGTTCATTTTTAATTTCCTCATTTACTCGAGATTTTAACAGATTTCTTATGTATGATAATTCTGGTATCCAAGATACTTCACTGGTCTACTTATAGGACTCAAAAATGAACTTGAGGGAGAGTCTAAAAAACTCTCTGCTTTGCCACTATGTTAAAATTAGGGTATTATTGCAGATTAACTACATCCAAAAAAAAGGGTGTTTTTTTTTTAATTATATGTTTTTTGGGGTGTAGATTACGAATCTGAAATCAATTTTTGGCGGTCGGCATCGGAAAACCGATTTTTTTCNTCACTCTGAGGATCTAACATTTTCTCGCCAGACCTAGTGTTTTGCGGGAATCTGGCGCGCAATCGTATGACGTCACTATTTCAACCATCTACGCATGCATGGAACTAAGACAAAGCTTAATATAACAGAAAAAGTTGAGAAGTGTCGGAATTACCCACGATGTCGGAATATGGTGCGTTTACCCCACCTTGTATTTTTGAACTGAGTAAGTTCTTTTAGTTTCACCTGGCCAGATTCCTACTTTGAATATTGGTCCATTGGGCCAAAATTTCCTAAAATTGTCAGTGAAAATTATTGTTTCACATAAATTTTCATGGATTTTATTCCAAAGTCATGGATAAAAATTAGCCATTTTCTTATTTTTGCTGAATACTTAGAAAAGAGACCTTAGGAACAGCAAAATTGGCCAGATTCATGGGTATTTTTGCCAATTCATGGGGATTTTTGCCAATTCAAAATTTTCCACTGTGGGCTAGATCGATATTGAATCCAATTTTGAATGTTGGCAGAAGTAGGAAGTAGCAGATTGGAAATATAATTTCACTGGTTATTATTATTAATTGTAGACAAAATATTAATTTTATAAATTTTTTACTGAAGAAATAAGTCAAGGGCCATAGAAATGCCAGGAACATAGTAGGAGTCTAGGAGAAAAGCCTTTTTTTGCTGATCGACACGTGGCATTTTAATATATCTTCTTGTTGAGTCCCGACTGGATTTTTCGAACTGTGGTTTTATGGATTTGCCAGCCGTGATTCCATTTATTTAAGCCTTGAATTCCATATCTTGGCCATGAAGAGCCATTTGCTAGCTGCAAACTTATTTGCAAAGTCCTGTGCATGTGTTACCCAAATCTCTAATTTTACCCTAGAAATGGCAACAGTAGGTAATATTTGTCTTTACTTTTATAGCAACTGAACACATGATAATGCAGTCTGACCGCTCTGGCATGACCGCTACTATGCGATCTTCAACAAGACCTTTTTGTTGACTTATCATTACGTTCTGCATAATATTTTGGCAGGAGTATTGAAGTACTGCAGATTGCGGAAGTTGAAAATTTAATGAAATGACATGTTTGCAAAGCGCAAACTGCAATTTTTTTCAATCAAACAGAAATACATGACTTTAGAGCTGCGAGATTTCTTACCTACTGAAATTATATGATATTAGAGCCACAATATTCCAGAAAAAGTAGGTCTTTTCCTGACCTGACCCTCACCACAAGAGTGAGTGAAAGCACTATTTACCTCCATACTCATACTAGTTTGGAGAAGTCCTACTTTTTCTGAAATATTACAGTTCTAATGTATAATTTTAGCAGGTGTTGAATTTTGCAGCCTTAATGTAATGTATTTTTGCTTGATTTAAATAATTATGGTTTATAAATGTGTCATTTTCTGAAATTTGGAACTTTTAAGTTTTAAAGTTTCTCAGTTCAGTACCATGAGTACCAGATGCACTTATTTCTACCTGAACCTAAAGACAGGGTTCATAGACTAAGTTGATGAGGGATAAGTAAGACACCATCTGTCTAGAGGACTTACTTTGATATGGGGTGGTTATACACAAGGGTTAAATTAGTGGTATAAGGCTAAGACATTGACTGTTAAGCCGAAGTACCATAAAAGGGGGTTACTTAGACTCCCGGGGTAACTTAGACCACTTTTTTATTTTTTAACAAAAACCCCCAAAACTCAAACACTACCGTCAACCGGGGCTACTCGGGACGGTTTTAAGCGTTTTTGTTAATAACTTCTTACGATGAAACATTTCATAAACGAATTTAGGCTCATTTTATAGCTCTTTGCGAGGGCTATCGAATGGCATCTTCAAAAAAATTCCATATGCTATTCGTAAGGAGCCAGAAGCAAAAAAAAAAAGTGTCTCAAGTAGCCCCATCAAACGGGGCTACTCGGGACACTGGGAATAAAACTTCATTTTAAAATATTTGAAGCATGCAGAGCGTACTCATCAATTACTAACAGTACCGTAAAATGGGGTAACTTTGACCACTTTTTTTTTCAAAATGATGCCATTTTTTTACTAGATAAGTTAAACTTAAATTGAAACATGCAAAATACAGGTCTATACTCTAGCTTTACTCGCCATAAATTGCTGGCTCCTGCCTCTCATAGTTTTGATGGTCTTAATTTAAAAAAAAAATGATGGTCTTTGTTACCCCAGCTCTTGGGATTTCTTTGACTGGGTGGTAAAATTATTTTTATTTTTTAGTAAAATAACTCCAAATAACTCCAGGTTGTGGTGCATTGTAGTAGAACTCTTCTAGTTACATATGCAAAAGACAGATTTTAGGAAAGTGTCATAGTTTGCAAATGGGTGGCGCCGCCCCCAAATGGGCNTGGTCTAAGTTCCCCCATTCAGGAGTGGCGCCCCCCATTTGCAAACTATGACACTTTCCTCAAATTTGTCATTTGCATGTGTAACTAGAATAGTTCTACTACAAAGCACCAAAACCTTGACTTATTTTACCAAAAAATATAATTGATTTTACCACCCAGTCTAAGATACCCCAAGAGCTGGGGTAACAAAGACTATCACTTTTTTTAAATTACTTCAAAACTATGAGAGGCAGGAGCCAGTAATTTATGATGAGTGAACCTAGAGGTGGTATTTTGCATGTTTCAATTTAAGTTCAATTTAGCTAGTAAAAAAATGGCATCATTAAAAAAATTTAGTCTAAGTTACCCCCTTTTATGGTAGCTTTAACACGAGTTACATTGTGGTGCGAGTTACGTTCTGGGGGGCCTTGATAAGTTTTTTAGCCCTTTTATAGAATCTCAGCTTCTGCCCAATACTGAGGTCTTGATCATGTGATCTATCTCATGATATTGTCCAGACGCTGACTCAGGTCTAGTACTTTTTCATCAATCTCTACCACATCAAATGAATATTATGTCTGAATTATAATGAATAGAATGAGACACCTTACAGAGACCAGACACATGCTCTCACTAAAATATTCTGCAGCATGAGGGCACCCAAAATGTTTTGTTTATGTATGGGCACCTAATTGTATGTATGGGACACCACATTGTATGTATTGGGTACCACTGTTCTCAAGTTATCTTAAGGGGAGTGTCTGGGTCCAAAATTGACAATTTTGACTTTTCCTGTTTTTATGCTCATCTTTAAGCTTACATTCTGCCACATCAAATGGTACTACATCCATCTCTGTACGTTGATTTATGTGTTCACGTCAGATCCCAAAAGGGTGGGGGTGGTGGAGCCCCTTAACAAAATCCTATGAGAATAATGCTGTCCAGGCACAATAAATATGCAGTCTACAACAAAGAGATCTACAAACAATTCTAGGGGTTTTTCCAATTTCGGTATAATTTTGAATTTTGTTCCGCCATAGTGGGGGTGGCAGGGGGTAAAATTGAAAAATTTATGAAAAATGCTCCCCCACCCACAAAAATGAGAATTTAAAAAAATGCCTAGATAGTTTTATAGATATGGTCATTACACATCAAATAATATGTGTCTTGATGTTGTAGTTTGAAAATCCTAGGACTAGATAGATTTCTACAGTACCGGTACCCCCTTTTTTTGGCCGTTTTCTAAGAATTTCATGTTTTCTTTCCTTTTTTCAAAAAATTCACAGTAACAAAAAAAGTCTTAAATTCTGTTTCGCATGTGTACCAAATTTTGAAGCGATCCGTCCATAAATAAAAAAGTTTTTTTGGGATCAGATGCTCCCCTTAAAATTTTGTATTGATTAAAGACAGTATATATATCGCCCTTGCATTGTACCCAATAACTGAAACAATTACTTGAATAATATGCATTTAAAAATTACTTTTTAAAGACAACACTTCTGAACAATCCAGTGTCTTGGTCAAGTGTCTGAACAATCCACTTGTACAATGAATTTCTAATTTTATTGTCAAATATTGAAAAAAAATTGTTTTTCAAATTTTTTAAGATATCAAAATTTTGTAAATTTTCAAAATTATTTATTCTGTCAATTGATTCGTGCATTGTCTCTGACTTTATACAATTGTGCAAAATTTCAGATCAATTGGACAGGTCAAATTGTGTCATATATGGATTATAAGATTTGTAGCAGACAAAATTATTTTTAAATTTTTTTAATAATGAAAAAAAATTAATTTTTAAAATTATTTATTCTGTCAAATGATTCACGTATTGTCTCCAACTTTACGCAAGTGTGCAAAATTTCAGATCGATTTTACAGGTAGAAGTGTGTTAAATATCTATTATAAGATTTATAGCATACCTGGTACAGACAGACAGACAAACAAGGAGTGAAGTTAATGAGAAGTGTTGTAAAAAATTGCCCTGCTATTCATTTGTCTGTGTAACTACAAACCAATAACAAATACATGGAATTTTACAGCAAATTCTAATCCCAGTAATTCATAAAGAATGCAATACAAAGCCTTTGGGTGTAAATTTTCTCCATTACTTAAAGTAGGTTCTTTATATTAAGTACAAGATAAACAATATTCTGTTTTATTTTTATCAATTAATAAGCAATATATTATATATATATTAATTGAAAATAGCTATATATGTACTACTATTGCACCAAACTAATCTCTACAAAGCTTTTAACTGTTCTTATGGAACGGCTGATTTTCCATACATTTTTTTTTTATCTCAGATTTTCAATTGTACATCAATATCATGAATAAAATTACAGTTATGTTATTATTCTGCAACAGTGGCAAGAATGAAATCTTTCTTCAACATATAATTTTTAGTGACTTATTTTTTTTTCTCATTGGAACTGCAATTTTTATTGTAATTTAAATGACTGCAATAGAAGCATTTATTTTATACAGTCTTTGTAAAGATCTCTCTATAATAAAAAATTTTCTTGAATTATTCTTGTTGTTTATTGGAGATAATTTTTGTCTTACCATCTCATTAAGTCATCATTTTATCTTTAATGAATTACTATTTCATTAACTTATGTAAAACTATAAGCATATTTTGTGTGCAGGTTTTACTGCGACTACTGCGACACGCACCTCACTCATGACTCGGTGAGTAAGATAAATGTGATAACTTAACTCAATGTTTGTGAAAATATTTAATGTTATGTGTTTGATCTTCATATGATTTTGTTGCTTTAACTTACTCAATGTTTGTGAAAATATTTTATGTTATGTGTTTGATCTTCATATGATTTTGTTGCTTTAACTTACTCAATGTTGTAAAAATATTTAATTTTTTTGGTTTGATCTTTTGATTTTGTTGCTTTAAATTGAAACAAGAATTGCTGTTGTATATAATCTTTTCTTTATTAATATTTAAATACTTGTGTGATATTTGGGATCCATTGGTATTGTGTAACCAGTTTCTCTCTGCCTGTCTAGTGAATCTTTTGACATAATTGCATTGATTATAAAATTAGATATTTTTATATTCTAATTTACATATTAGAAATGTATTTGATGAATATATTTATGTATAAACAATAAAAATATATTTCCATATCTTTCTTGTAAATATATGTGTAACCTATATATATATTCAGTTTCCTTCAGGATATATATACAGGACATCAGTTTCCATATATTTTAGTGAAGTTTTTTTTTTTGCAATATGAAGGCTTCAAAACATCTTATATGTAACTACAGGGTGTTTCAGAATTAAGTACCGTAACCCTTTTAATTTGTCAATAAATAAAAAACTAAGAACGTTATGAAGTTGAAACTTGTTTTATTTAAAAGAAGAACATTTTTATAGTAATATTGTATCCTAGTTTTTAAATATAATATCTTTTAAATGCCCACCACAATTGTTTTGACAAAATAGGGCTCTTCTCTTCGTTGCTTTCATAACCTTCATTAGTGTTTCTGACGAGTTATACAGGATAATGACGTAACTATGATACAATATTACCATGAAAATGTTCTTCTTTTAAATAAAACAAGTTTCAACTTCATAACGTTCTTAGTTTTTTATTTATTAACAAATTAAAAGGGTTACTTAATTCTGAAACACCCTGTATATATAATGACATGAACATTCATGTACAGCCTGCATCTGAATATGTATACTAATTGCAGTTTATATGAAGTTATAAATTACTGTTGCAATTATGTGTTTTTTCATATGCTATTTATTCTATTAATAGCTTGTCATTTTCAATCAGTGTTGAGTCAGGCTTTTAATAATAAATAATTGATAAATTGTAATATCATATGCTATTTATGCTATTAATAGCTAGTGTATAGCTCAATTTGTGTCGAGTCAGGCTTTTAATAATTTGAATAGATTTTAATCAAGACTTTGTTTGCAGCCGAGCGTACGCAAGACACACTGCCAGGGGCGCAAGCACAAGGAGAACGTCAAGATATATTACCAGAAGTGGATGGAGGACCAGGCGCAGAACATGATAGACGCCACCACCGCCGCCTTCAAGGCGGGCAAGATGACCGGTGAGGGAACCTTTCCCGGCTACAATGACGCACTATCGTCGTATATAAACTGTCATTTAGGGCTTGTTTAAATTGTTCTTAATATTTATAGGTGTAACTTTATAAAAAAATTAGGGTCAATGTAAAAAAATTCTTCTGTGAGTAATCTAGAAAGAATGTTGGTAATTTGTATTTTCCACAAATTCATTTATAATTCTTAACATTATCATGAGCTGACATTGCCATTCCATTTTTTATTTTGTCTCCTCGTTTCTTTGTCATTCCTGGTACTCAGAAATTTACAATGTTATTTGTGTACGACTTTTCTTAGCTACTAAATCATATGGTATTTTTTTAGGTTCAAGCCATGTTTATGAATGCTTTACACATCCTGTTCCTATTGCCCTGAATACGGCCCTGTATTCAGTGGTGACAATGATTGTAATCATCTGAATACTTGCAGGTTCAACTGCGACGGGCAGCATCAAGACGGGCGCTGCTATACCTCCCCCACACATGGGTGAGTGATCACCTTCAGTCTCTAGTGCAGCTGTACTGTTATTTCCTTGTTTTATTATACATTGCGACCTAAGTACACATAGCAGCCTAAAGCAGATTACCGAATGACATTTTACTGGAATGCGACGTTTCGAATATATCAATATTCATTATCAAGCAAGTGAACAGTTATTACAACGCTAAAAATTGAAATTTGGACATAAGAAGAAGTTTCGTTCGGCTTATTGAAAAAAACAATAAGAAAATTGTTAATAAAAAGTACGCTCTGGTCTTCAATCAAACCAGTATAAATAGCAGCCTAAGTACACATAGCAGCCTAAGTACACATAGCGGCCTAAGTACACATAGCAGCCTAAGTACACATAGCAGCCTAAGTACACATAGCAGCCTGAGTACACATAGCAGCCTAAGTACACATAGCAGCCTAAGTATGTACACATAGCAGCCTGAGTACACATAGCATGTTTTTTAATTGCTAATCATTTGCAGTTTTGCTTTAAAATACAATTTCCGAATATTCTTGTTCTGAATGCCTCTATAATTACTCTCCACTGATTAACGATCCACTAATTGCAATTAGCTTATTACATTACTGAACCATCCTTCCTCATTAATGGCCCATCACATTATTTATATAACAACTCACACCCTATTATTATCAAATATCAATATCACAACATTTGATATTATTATCAAATATCAAATGTTGTGTTAATAATATCACCTTGATATTATTAACACAACACCCCCTCATTAATGACCCATTACACTATTAATCAATTGCCCCTGATTAATGGCCCATTACCCTATTAATCCACTACCCCTGATTAATGACCCATTTATTTCAGTTCCTCCAGGCCCCAGAGGGCCCATGGGCCCGGCAATGGGAGGGCCAATGGGCCCCAACATGGGACCAAATATGGGACCCAACATGGGTCCTATGATGGGACCTCGCGGCCCTATGATGGGGCCAGGGGGACCAATGATGGGTCCCCAGGGCCCTGGCATGTATGGGCCTGGCATGGCTGGTGAGTGCACATCATATAATTTTTTTATTGCTGCACGTTAAATTCCTATTGATGATAAAAATAATGTCTACACTCGAGAAATGAGCGGTTCATTGTCCGAATATGAATGCTCTATTTATGCTTTTTCTGTCAAAATCGATAGCGGGCGATCTTTGATATGCCCGCTATTCTCATACTCCTACTCTATGGAGAATTTCTTTCTCATACTCAGAATTTCTAACTATTTTTTTTTTAATGAGTAAGAAGTATTGTTGTATAAAACCTCATTTTTATTGAATATTGAATAAGAAGTATTGTAGAATGGCCCATTTTAAGAACTATTGTTGGATAATAGCTCTACTAACATTGCTATAATTTTATTGTTTTGCAGGTCCCATGGGGCCAGGTGGGCCTATGGGCCCAATGGGTCCCATGATGATGGGTCCTGGAGGTGGGATGAGGCCCATGATGGCGGGCCCACCAAGATAGGCCCCTCATTATAGATTGTGCATCCCGCCTCCATCTACGACTCTTGTAGACCTACCTCCATCACTGACACTTCTAAACCCATCTTCACCTAAGCCACTTCTGAACACTCCTCCATCTAATCCACTTCTGAACACTCCTCCATCTAAGCCACTTCTATACTGGCCTCCATCATTGCCACTTCTAAACTGGCCTCCATCTAAGCCACTTTTAAATCAGCCTCCATCAACCCCACTTAAGGACCCTTCTGCATCAACGCCATCAACCAGTTGTTAGGCTACTCTTCATGGAAATTGGCCATACTCCTACTTGAATTTATTTGACGTATACTTCCCACACAAAATAAGGATTCGTGCGGACTTGTACACAGTATGTGTAATTTAAATCAAGTGTAGACGTTAATTTTATAGTGAAATTTCTTTGTTGCGTATTATTTTCCTTGGCTTTCTGTTGTCTCTCAAAATGTTGGTTCGCATGCACTCTTGTTGCTTCCAGTGTTGGGAGAACTTGATATTGAACTCGAGAGAAAATCATTTGCTAGAACCCACCAATGTTCTTCAGTAAGCTCCAAATATGATGCGTGTTCGCCGTTCATACTACAAGAACATATGCACGCAATCTTTTACTGGTTGAGAGATTTTGATCAATGCAATAGTTTTGCAGAGTCCGAATGGTCTTTTTCTAAGTACGTACATGAACTGGTAGGTAAGGATGGGAAATAACGTTAGTGCTTACGGTTTACCTCATTCCGAAACCATGTATCAGAGTTATGTCGGCGCTGAAGAATAGGCCTGATGTGGCTTGTCGCCGATTCTTGTACTTATCGTGATCTTGTACTCCGCCAGGTTCGATTTGGTGCCAGGCATTTCAGGTCTGAACATATATTTCTCCATAGCTTTCTCTAGTCTGTTCTTGAACGCGTTCATACTCGGAAAGTGTACATTGTAATCAGGGAGGCTGTTCCACATGGTGACTCGAAGCGAGTAGGTTTCAAACATGGTTGAACTATATATACTAATTCAATCGTGGGTTTCAAATAGTAGCAATAATTCTGAGACCTTGCAGAAACTACGAGTTTATGAAAAAAAAAATTAAAGATTATGAAGCTTCCAAGCCTCAGTTATCGACGTCTGCGTGGGGACCTCATTGAAGTATACAAGTATACTCATGGTTTATACAAGGTCCCCGAAGGATTACTAGAATTTGAAACAAGAACCAACACCAGGGGCCACGACTATAAACTGAAAAAACTGCGCTGCAACTTGTCCACGCGACAACATTTCTTCTCGCTTCGAATCACCGACGCGTGGAACAGCCTCTCTGATTGCATCGTTGGCGCTCCGAGTATGAACGCGTTCAAGAACAGACTAGATAAAGCTATGGAAATATATATGTTCAGATTTGAAATGCCTAGCACCATAGCGAACCCGGTGGAAGTCTCGTAGCTATTTAAAACTATCGTCAGTCTTGTAAATATCCGGTCAAACGACAAGATTTAGATCTATGAACAAGTCACGAAAAATTCTAGATTCGGCAACAGGCCGCATCATGCCTACTCTTTAGCGCCATCACATGTTATGTTAAGTTATAATAAACCTTTGTCGTTCCACTAGGGAATTTATAAGCAACCGAAGTTCTGAACTGTAATTGCCAAAAAATTAATTTACAAAATTTCTTTGGATCGATAAAAATTACTCGCACAGAATGAAAATTGTACTTGCGTAGTATTTGAGTCGTAGAATCGGATGTTCTTTGTTAAGTTTGTTTATATTGTACACTTGTACTTGGAACAGCTGGTTGTGATGGGTTCAGCGAGGCGTCAGGCTGGTTGTTATTGCTGTTAACTCGTTTGCGTGTTATTTTTATTTATCAATTGTTCTCTATGTTAGCTCCTATAAATTAAAGGTAAAACATACAAAATCTATTTAGTATAAGAACTTTTATTAGGTGCTGATGTTTAAATTATTTTTAACTATTCATTTGAGAACGAATGGAGAGCCGTGGTATCACTGATTCACTGGTATGGTTAGAGTTAAACGGGATCACAGGGAGATTGTTTTGGATGTCTTTGAGGAATTCTCCTTGGACCTAAATCTGATATTGTTTAAAAAATTGTCGTTTATTATCTTAAAAGGCTGTTCATACTTCTAAATCAGTGAACGGTGTAAAAATATATGCATGGGGCCGCGGACAGCCTGGGACAGGTCATGAAAATCAGAATCACTGGACACTGATCACAGGTATATTCTGACTCCTGTTAGTGTCAGTCTGTCAGATTTACCAGTTTAGAGCCTATCACGGTATTATTGCAGATTAACTACATCCAAAAAAAAGGGTGTTTTTTTTTTTGAAAAAAATCGGTTTTCCGATGCCGACCGCCAAAAATGGATTTCAGATTCGTAATCTACACCCCAAAAAACATATAATTAAAAAAAAACAGCCTTTTTTTTTGATGTAGTTAATCTGCAATAATACCCCTATCACTGTTGCCTTTGCCTAATTTTTATAGAAGAAATGAAAAATGAATGACATATTTGCCCACAATTATTAAAAGTTGCCTGTGCACATTTCCAACAAAGCAACAATCAATTTTTTGCCAGCAATTTTTGTAAAATTCTGTCGGACATTTGACACAGGCTGACACCTGACAGGCATGGGCCATCATCCATGGAATATATCTTCTTGGCAAGCTGCAACTGAATTTTTCAAGCTGTGGTTTCTTGGATTTGCCAGCCAGCAGCTGTGATTCCATTTCTTTGAGCCATAATTTAATTTCTTTGAGCCGTGAATTCCATACCTTGGCCATTAAAGGCCATTTACATACAAGCCAGCAGCCTGAGCCAGCTGCCAGCCTCAAACTTTTTACCAAGTTCCAAGCACGTGTTACCCCTAAGCCCTAATCTCTTATTTTACCAAAAAAACAGTCAATATTAACATTTGTCTTTACTTAAGTGGTGACTAATCATGTGAAAATGCACTGTGACTGCTTTGATGTGACCGCAATTACGTAATCATTAAGGAAATGTTTTAGATTGACTTATTACATTGTGCATGATATTTTGGCGGGATTGTCAGAGTATTGCGGATTGCAGAAGTAGAAAATTTTTTGAAATGACATGTTTGCGGAATGCAAAATGCAATTTTTTCAATCAAACAAAAATACATGACATTAGAGCAACGAGATTTCATACCTACTGAAATTGTGTGATATTAGAGCTGCAATATTTCAGAAAAAAAATAGGACTATACCAGCCCTGAGTGGACAAAGGCCTACTTGAAAGAGATGGAATTTTATACATTAATATGCCCAGAGCATAAATAAGCCCATGCCAAATCCATTACATGTTTTTTAAAATTATAATTGCCACTAATTCTGCAGAATGCCTAGAATAATAATTTAAATATAATTGAACTCTGTCACCCAATCACCCATTACCCAATATGTAATACCGTATCTAATATGAAATCCATACAAAGCGTGAAGCCTAATCCAAGAAGTAACAATCAAGTGGATCTTGTTACGTGAAATGGTATGCCCACTGCAGCCCACACCTCCATAATTTTAAAGAACCAATAAATATCAGACTGTCAATCAAATTTCAGCAGCATCAAGTAAAAAATACATTTTTAGCAAAAATTTAGATTTTGGCAAATTTTTGCCAACAATTTTTTAAAATCACCTATGAAATTATTATTTGCCACAAATTTTAGAATACCCTGACCAATATTCTAGATTAGTATATATTTATTTACATTTTAGGAATCTTGATTTTATATTGACAATATTGATATGATAGACCAGTGGTTCCTAAAGTGGGCAATATCGCCCCCCTCGGGGCGGTGGAAAGATTTTGGGGGGCGATAAGGAAGAAGAAGACGGTAGGGGGGCGGCTGTCCGAAGTCAATGTCAGAAGTTCGAACGTTTGTTAGACGATTTGTACACAACACGTGCAGCACATGACTCCCAGTGATGGTTTTTTCTGTTTTTTTTTAACCTAGCTCTCCTGGGTTTACGTCTCGGACAAATTAACGGCCGGACTCGAGGCCGGTCTCACGGCCAATTTTCAAATTCAATGATCAAGGAATATCTCTCAAACTAATGAACTTAGCTCGATGAAACTTGGTACACGTATTCATTAGGACCTAACGGTAATGTTTTGCTCGTGAAAATTGTTTGAATTTTGCCATCGTTCGTTTTTGCCATAGTTATATGCCAATACGGGCCGAAATTCACAGTGATCAAGTAATTTCTTCCAAACTGCTGAACAGATTCGAACAAAATTTTGAATTTACAGTCCTAGCTAAAAATTTTTTGATTGTGCCTTCGTTTGCAAGTTTTTTTTTTTATTTCGCCTTCATTCAGGATTTAAACAGCAATTCGTGCTTAAATTTGCTGTAATCAAGAAATTTTTGTCCAAACTACTGAACAGATTTGAACAAAACTCAGAACGTATTTAAATACCTAAACCTCAGCAACGGTGATGTTTACATTTTTTCCTTTTGCCTTTGTTTGCGAGTTATAGGGCTATACGTATACTGATTCTGATTTATAGAAGCCATCGATCGACCGATCGAAAAGCTGGTTGTTCCTACTATATCTGTATAACTCGCAAAACGAAATCAAAATGGAAAAATTGTCACAAGCTGAACATCACTGTTGAGAGGTGAGGTATTTTTATACAAAGTTTTGTTTAAATCTGTTCTGTATTTTAGAAGAAATTTCTTGATCGCCACGAATTTAAGCGACAAATTACCCAGCGATACGGGCCGAATATAAGGAAGTGTGAAATCAAGAATGACGGTGAAATGAAAAAAACTCGCAAACGAAGGTAAAATCGAAAAAAAATTTATAAGCAAAAAAATCACCGCTTGGTAGTTAGGAATGTATATTCAAAATTTTGTTCAAATCTGTTCAATAGTTTGGAAGAAATTCCTTGATCAATGCGAATTTTGGCCTGTTTCGCAATATATGCGCAACTCATGAATGAAGGTAAAATTAATAAAAAATTACAAACTAAACATTACCATTAGGTTCTGATGAATACGTGTTCCAAGTTTCATAGAGCTGCGTTCATTTGTTTGGGAGATATTTTCTTGATAATTGAATTTGGAGATTGGTCGTGAGACCGGCCACGAGTCTGGCCGTAAATTTGCCCGCGACGTCCTTGGCTTCTAGTGCTGAAACAGTTATAACAGCTGAAAAACACATTGGCTCACTAAATTGGGTTCTATTTGTGAAATACACATTTGTGTTTAACCTTTATCTTTTAAAATTTCAGCGTACTAAATTTCAAGAAAGTGGCGTATTTCTGCGGGGGGCGCTAGAAATTCACTAGGGGGCCAAAGGGGGCGCCAGCCTGAAAAAATTTGGGAACCACTGTGATAGACAATAGTACTAACTTGTTAATAAATAAACTTTATATTGAATATCTGGGATACCTGAGTAAAAATTCTTGTTTTATTAGTGATGGTTCCTGGTGACTATAGAAAATAGCAGGATATGTCAAATAAATGTCATAACCAATCAATAATTGCCTAATTGGTTCTTATTGGTCATTGTGAGTATGTAAATTGTAGTTTTCATTGTGAGTGAATGTATATAAACTGTTGCCCATGCACAGTGTTATTATTACAGGGTTTGTACCGGTCATGGAATACCTGGAAAGTCGTGGAATTTGATTTTTCATTTTCCATGACTGGAAAGTCATGAGATTTCATATCAGATTATGGAAAGTTGTGGAATTTGCAAATAAAAGAAGAAAAAATGAAGTTTTTTCTGTGCTGCTTGTGCAAAACTGTTTGTGCAGTCTCTTGTTTCCTGCATTCTGATTAGTGTAATTGTTATTAGTGTAATTCAGCCAAAACCTTTTAAGCAAGTTTGATTGAATGCCAAGAAAATTTTTGAGATGGCATATAGTATGTGAGGTCTTGGAATTTTTTCTGAATTATTTACTTTTTTTTTTGCCAGAACATGCATATGGATCTTTCCATATCCAAAGTATATCCCCAACATCAAGCAAGAAAACTTCTGCCAATAATAAGTACATATGCCGCTGTAGAGGAATTACATCCAGACGTTGTATTTTGACACGTTAAATGCAGCAACGACCCACAGCGCTGGCAATTGGCCTAAAAATGGCCAAGTCCGCTGCTAAAAAGGCCTATAATTCAAAATATACTAGTAAATTTGTAGGTTCAGGTGCAAAAATTACATTTTCCTTTTTTCGTACAGTTTATGTTTTAATGAGGCAGTACTGGCATCATAAATTTTTGTCGACTAACGCAATTGAAAAAAAACTAAATCGCAGAATTTATCCGGAAAAAAGACCCTGCCACCCACCCGTGGGTCGTCCCGCACTTAACGTGTTAAAAGCTCCAATGTGTGTAGAACTCAATAACAATATATGTTTGACACCTCTGAATGGCATTGTAATGAATCATTTTGATACATTATCCTAAATAATTGCAGCCATAATTTGAAAGATCCGTCTTCATGGTTTTCAACTTTCCTAATCTCACTATCAGTGTTAAGTTTCTTGTCTCTTATATTATTGATATTGTGCAATAATAATGCCATATGATAAATGGTTATGTTACTCTTGAATGTGTTAATTAATGCGCAACTTCTTTGCAGTGCACAAGTGGCTGTTCTGTCACTTGGCGGGCTACTACCCCATCCTGCAGGTCCTCTTCCACAACAAGCCCCCCTCCCTCCACACCCCCACCAGGTGAGCACAAGCCCCCCTCCCTCCACACCCCCACCAGGTGAGCACAAGCCTCCCTCCCTCCACACCCCCACCAGGTGAGCACAAGCCCCAATGACTGCTATTTAGCATTGACTGGAGAATACAACTCCCGTCAGCTAATTCATTGTTAAGTTTTGGCTGTATATGCTGATTTTAAATGAACATTGCCAAATTTTTGAAGATTTCGTTTTTTTAATGAACATGGTTTCCAGGTGAGCACAAGCCTCCCTCCCTCCACACCCCCACCAGGTGAGCACAAGCCTCCCTCCCTCCCTCCACACCCCCACCAGGTGAGCACAAGCGTGGGGGGATACGAGAAAACATAATTTTTAATGGAACGACGTTGAAATGTAGGCAGATATGCTGAATTTAATTCAGAAATGAATTCTGAACGTCTGCTATTTAGCATTGACTGGAGAATGCAACTCCCATCAGCTAATTCATTGTTAAGTTTTGGCTGTATATGCTGATTTTAAATGAACATTGCCAAATTTTTGAAGATTTCGTTTTTTTAATGAACATGGTTGTATCAAAGGAACATTGGAAGATGATGGTGAACTTTTTATATGATAATTGAGGTTATTTATACTGGAGCTTCCGCATAGTCTGCGATGACAATTAATTGCATTTATTCACAAAATTTAACGAATATTTCGTGATAGAAGGATGGTCAGTTTAGTTTTTACATTGAATCATCTCCCAAAATGTCTGCCAAAATTGTGGATCTCAACTATTTATTAAATTCTTTCTATTTTTTTCCTCATTCCTAATTCAAATTCAATAAAAAAAAACTTTTGTCAACGCCCAAAACAACTTAGGCAACGTTAGAAAATCAAATTCTACTCTCTAAAGTCTTTTTTCTATTCTAACGTCTTTTTTTCTACCTTAAAATCTTCTTTTCTACCTTAAAATATTCTTTTCTACCCTAAAAATATGTTTTCTACCCTAAAATCTTCATTTCTACACCAAAAACTTGATAGTTACCTTGAAATCTTATTTTCTACCCTAAAATGTTCTCCCTGCAGTAAACAGCGAGGGCGGACCACGCGACCCTCCCCCACCTCGTACCGCGGCTCCAAGTTCTCCACCGCCAGGACCGTGGGCAAGACTGCAGCTCCTCCTTCCCCTGGGGCGCTATAGCGAAGTCTGGTCGACCCAATATATGCTTATATACTTATGTATAGGCCTGAACTATACTTATATATACAGTGGCAACCAAGAAGCCGTGCTCTGGGGCGCTATAGCGAAGTCTGGTCAACCCAGAATATGTTTCTATACTTATGAATAGGCTTAAACTATACTTATTTTATTGTGTTTAAAACATAGCAATAGGGCAAAAAGGTAACTTTTGGGGTAGTGGGGCTCGCATTTTTTAATTTTACAGTAATTCGTATGGATAATGTATACAGTGGCACACAGGAAACGACACGAAAAGTAACACTGAATGTGTAGTTGCCGCAGCAGGGGCGGTGGAGCACAGCTTGGTTTTCCCTCAGTAAATGTATAAATTATGTTTAGTATTATACATGTACGATGTATATTTTATAAGTATTCATGTGCAAGTCTGGTTAATAATCATAGAATATTTTTCATCAATGAATTTCTTGCTCGTTTTTTCCAACGATCCGAACGATGTTGGGCAGATCGTTTGCAATTATTCATATGAAGATGTAGCCGCAATAAAGAAACGGCAAGAAAACCTGCAGTTGAATATTATGTTTAACCAGAAGTAAAGTGCAATCGATTGCTTTCGGTACGATTTAATTTTTGCAATTAATTTTTTGCGCTATTGACGATTCATATTGAAATGTTTGTTGTTGTTGTTTGCAACATCGAAACTTGAACGCTTGGTGGGTAGAAACTGTCTTGTTTTTATTATAGTTAATGCATCGGAAACGCGCTAGTTTACGAATTAGAGCTATTCCACTGCTGTAAAACTTTGCAATAACTCAATAAACGAATGTTCAAATTCAATGTTTTTTCATACATCCTTTAGAAATTGCTGCACCTAGTAACCTGAAAGCTACTCTGCTTGTATTGAAGAAGGTTCGACTTCGTTAAAACTTCACCGTTAGTACTCATAACTAACTCCGCTGAGCAGATGCCCCATAATACAACTAACTAATGTCGTGATGTCACTAGTCTGGCATTTTTGAGGGTACCTTACAATGAGTTTAGGGACTTCGTAGTCCAAGGTCACGCTCAAGCGCCGGCTCCGAACACGTTTTGGTAACAAGGACGATCTTTATTTAGTTCTTTCAAATGAAAATGCTTGATGCGCTAACACAAGATATTCTTAATCTGGAAACCATTTGCAACTGCCGACACACATCTTGATCTCAGCGGCTCCACGGCATTTTCAAACGCATCCTGTAATCGCGACTTACTAGCACATTAAGTAATCTGTATCCGTGAACGAAAATAATTTCTGAAGATAACTTAGTACCGTAAGAAAGTCTATAGGTCTCTCGGTTGTAATTCAATTAATAACTTCAATATTTCTCAATTAATTTTAGGCACAATTTTTTACCGGGAACCAATTTTAATTGATCAATCTTATTTGGATTTCAAGTAACATTGGTTGAGACCTCATTTTTCAGCGACTCATTCTTACTATATCAGCATATATATATTATATGCTTTCAACGGATTTTGATCTGCGTCCTGAAAATTCGATACTTCTAGATAGCCATTTGTGGCGTACATAGTTGCGCGAGCTTCAGGTGATGTGATTGCATCACGAGTATGTTGGCTATGTTAATTTCGCTGTTCTTTAAACTTTCCTGCCTTGTATACTAGTGCCCTCTGGTCGTTTTAATGCATTTAAAGCTCTGTAATAAGCGTTTGTTTAACGTTTAGCTCTGTATCGGCGGATAGTGTCATTGTCATGATTACGTTGTGACGTCAATGACTGAATATCTATGTGAATGACGCACCAACTGATAAGATGAGTTAGATGACTGATGGACGATGGCATTTGTTCATCATGACCAACTGACCGAGTGGTGACATGTGCTTGTTAGAATAATCTTCAAATTGATAGGGATTTGAGATTTCATTAGGATTTTTACTTTTTATGTAGCATATCTTTCATCATGATGACTTGATCAGTTATTGACTGTTAAATGTCAATTCAGTCAACAATTGCCTTGATTAGTTAGCCTAAGTCAGGTAAATCAGGTTACGCTGTTATGGTTACTACCTCAGTGCTCAGTCCTCACTCCTCAGGTACCTACTATTGAGGTTTTCTGTTAGGAGCAGAAGCTTAGAAGTTAGAACTGTCCATTTGTAGGTATTGTCCAAATTCCAATTGATGTAGGTAGGCTACTCGCTACTGGCTACCGGTATTTTGAAATAAATTGTGAAATAGAAAGTATGTAGCTTGAAGTTGGTGGCTAGTGCTTTTGTTGGTTGGCTATTAGTGTAGGTATATTTCTTTGTAAGATTATTTGCCCAAAGTGGAAAATTTAGTTATGCAAAAATGCTTATGAATCCTGTCTGGGCTCACCCACTTCACTTCATGGTAGTATTTGCCCTCTCCTACTGGCTACTCCTAGTGCTTTTTCCGAATTTCTAAAGCAAAAAGTAAGAAAAATTGCCTAATTTTACCTGAGATTTTAAAAAATCACCTGTGAAACCATGAACAATTATTCTAATCTAATTCTAATAAACCTGCAATTTTAGGAAAGTACTGCCCAATAATGGAAATATTGGAAATGGGCCTGACTTCAATAATAAAAAAGTACGTACATGGAGATTGACATTTGACAATTTGTAATTTGACAGAAACTCCCAGATTTTAAAGCTCAATAAAAATGAACAAGAAAACATATTACAATATAAATTTGTCCTGATTTAAAGGCGGAAAAAATAGCTAGGAAAGATATCGTTATTTAAATTTGATTAAATAAAAATGATAAAAATTTTTGTATCACTGAATTCTAAAGAAAAAATTGGACAAATTATTGCCCTCATTTTAGAGACATTCAATTAGGGTTAATATTTGAAGTTCCATTAAACTCACTGAAGCATATTGACGGGCATGTTGCAAAAATTGTGGCATTCTAAATGCCTTATAAATGACCATACACCATTATAATTTAGAGCACGGCAGCCAAAATAGGAGCGAACAACCTAGAAAAGGAGCGGGATCCCCTGGACGAGTGCAGTACAGCGCTCTAGCTCCCAAATTACTGCCACAATTACCACTTTTTTACTGCCCACTAATTCTTAAGGAATAGCAATGGGTAATTCATAAGGAATAGCAATGGTAAAATTATTGCCCATTGGTATTAGGAAAAATATTGGTGTTTCTGTCTCATTTCTGTGTGCTGTAGCTTCTGCCTAATTTTCTGTTTTGAAAAAACGGCTTCATAGTTATTATTTAGTAACCAAACCTTGCAATTAGTAGTAATAGAAAATCTAGATTTCATTTTAAATTTACTAACGTTTTATGTAAAATGATCACACGTTCTTTTTAAGCACTTAAGGTGACAGACAGGAGTTCCAGATTATAGAACTTGAGAATCAGTTAATTGATCATCAGCACTGACCATCATGTCCATCAACACGGCACACGCCAATAAAGGTGTCGTCATATACTCCGGTGAAGTGTGAGTATTTATAATCAGTATTTTTATATTTATTCATTTGTCTGCTCCTTTTGATACTAAATTGATACTTATAGATTACACTGATTAGTATTCTCATTAACACAGATTAATCTTTAGTTTCATTCAAAATGAAATTTTGGAGTGGTAATATTGCATTTGTACAAATATTATCAGGTAAAAATATCATATTCTGTAAAAAGACATGGAAATAGACCTTTCTTTTATAACTGATATTTTGGAACTTAGCAAGTTACCAGTCTGGATATTCACAAGAAATTTAACCATAATATATAAATTGCACTCTGCACCATCACCATCATCATCATTGCAGGATCATCCTGTACTGCGACCATGTGACGATGAACCTGAGTAAGGAGGTGGGAGGTAACGGCCTCGCCGGCAACAAGACGGGTCGTCTCTACCTCACCTCCCACCGCATCATCTTCACCAACACCAGCGATAGGGACCCCCTTGGCAGCTTTGCCGCGCCCTTCTTTGCCCTCTCTAAGGTATGAGGGGTGCATTAACTTTCCCTTCTTTGCCCTCTCTAAGGTATGAGGGATGCCTCAACTTTCCCTTCTTTGCCCTCTCTAAGGTATGAGTCATGCCTCAACTTTCCCTTCTTGGTTGACAATACAAATACATTAATTTGTGTTGATTAGATACAATGAATTTTTTGTGGTTGAATAGAATTGTATATTGTATTTAAATGTTCTAAATATAAACCAATACAAAGAGTTCTAATTCCTCCTAAGCATTTATTATGTGCCCATAGGATTACAATTTGTACATGATTATTCTGCAGATTTCGTGATCATATTCATATTCATTCAATTCAATTCATAGATCATATCTTGTATAAATCAATGCACTCTTCATGCTGCATATAAAGCGTCAATTCATCAATTTATTATCATGATATGGTCCCTTAAATAGTGAAATGTGTCAATATTACAATTTTATCAATATTTATCACTTAACTGTAATCTCTTGTTAGTAATAGTAATTACTTTAATGATAAATGCTGCTGATTGTGTTAGTTAAAATTAATTTAATAATAATATCAACTTGTTTGTCGGTGAGCTGTTTGTACATGATAATTACATGTCTGATCACAGTGCTTGCCTGCTCTGTTTCACTATCACTTAAATTTGGACAATTTTCCTTAGTGTTTCCTTAGTGTTATATCTAGTTGAGCTGGAGCAGCCTGTTAGTAAGCAGTTTATGGAGCGTGTTCTGGTCAGGTGGAGCTGGAGCAGCCTGTTAGTAAACAGTTTATGGAGCGTGTTCTGGTCAGGTGGAGCTGGTAAACAGTTTATGGAGCGTGTTCTGGTCAGGTGGAGCTGGAGCAGCCTGTTAGTCAACAGTTTATGGAGCGTGTTGTGGTCAGGTTGAGCTGGTAAACAGTTTATGGAGCGTGTTCTGGTCAGGTGGAGCTGGAGCAGCCTGTGTTTGGAGCAAACCTGATCAAGGGGCAGGTCAAAGGTCAGCCCAACGGAGGGTTCGACGCGCGCACCGTGAGCTTCAAGCTCACGTTCAAGCACGGGGGCGCCATAGAGTTCGGGCAGGCCCTGCTTAAGGTGGCAGCTATGGGTGAGTGATATACATGTATAGTTTGTATAGTGTGTGTAGTGCTTGTATAGTCTGTATTGTGTATGGTGTATAGTGTAACGTTCAAGCACGGCGGCGCCATAGAGTTCGGGCAGGCCTTGCTTAAAGTGGCAGCTATGGGTGAGTGGTACACATGTGTAGTGCTTGTATAGTCTGTATAGTAATGTATAGTATATGGTGCACAGCGTGACATTCAAGCATGCTATAGAAGCAACACATGTGTGTTGCTTCTATAGCATGTATAGTAATAATAGTAATAGGGTGTATATACTTTACATACTAGGTGTAGATTTTCTCAGTATGATTATTGTATAATACTAAATATATACACATACTTGCTGTATATATTCGTAGTAGTGAATAGAATATTGCTAGACATGATTATGTATTATGAGTTTTCAATTGTTAATTCACATTGATTCACCCTCAGCATTCATCGTACTCATGAAGCTGCAGTATATATGTCTGACATTTGTTCCCTATGAGTTCATTTTAACTTTTCCTTAATAAGGAACAAAATGATTGCAGAATTTGTACAAATAAGCATAATTTTAATCAGAATTCCCATTTTGAAATTCTTATAAACATGAGCCCATAATAATTTACCCGAATACAGCTAATGATTGAACTGATAATTCTGATATTGCTGCTAAATTACCCTGAATTATAGGTTTTACCCCTAGTATTAATGCAAAAAAAATTACCCCAAATTTCAGGTATTATCTTGAATGACGATGCCAAACTAGGAAAAATTTCCCCAAAACTCCGGTATCAACAAAAATGATAATGAATACTTTTCCCAAATGCCAGTTATTACCCCAAACAATAATCAGTAATTACCCTAAACCATATTCAATAATTACCCCAAATAATGTTGAATAATAACCCCAAATAATCACTAATTACCCCAAATAATAAAAATAATTACCCCTCCCCTCCCGAAATTCTAAATAATAATGATAATATAATAATAATAATCTACGGTGGCCGGCTAGTCTAATGTGGTCTTAGGCTTCAATGGTTTGAATAAGGGTTAATGAATAAAGTTATAATAAATATAATATAATAAAGTTATTATATTTATAATATAATAAATACTAAATTGAAATAACATTCCCCCCCGCCCTTCCCCAGCGGGAAGCGTGTTCACGTACGAGGCGCCTCCCCCATACCCCGGGGTGATGGGTGCCCCGCCCCCCTACGTTGGGGGCGCCGTGGGGTTTGCTGCCCCCCCACCGAGCACCTACACCATGACAGCCGCTGGTATGTAACGCATGCTAATTAATTTTTTAGTTCACGGCTCGTATTAATCAATAAAATTTTAAATTTTGTTTCAGGGCTGATCAAATAATTCATTAATAGTGCCACATTTTCATTGATTTATCTTGATTTTCTTGTTTATCATTCCTACGTCAGTTGCCAACTACCATTTACTTTTCTTTTATAAATGCTGGCCGCACGTAAATGTTGCTTTATTTACTTGTTGGCAACCAGTAGCCCGCTAACGCCGGTTGCCAACTACCATTTACTTTTCTTGTATTAAGTGCTGGTCGCACATAATTTTGCTTTATTTACTTGTTGGCAACCAGTAGCCCGCTAACGCCGGTCGCCAACTACCATTTACTTTTCTTTTATAAGTGCTGGTCGCATATAATTGATGGCAGCCGATTGTACGCTAACGTCGAAGGTCAACTATCATTTAATGTTATGGTACCTGTTGGTGCTGCTGGTGCATTCACTTTGATTTCTAATTGCTGAATCGCAAGTTATCAACTATCGTATACCTCAAACTTTACTTTTGACTACTTGTTGGCAACCCCACCCTGCCTACGTTGTTGCCGACTACCATATACTAGTCGTATTTGAGCGATGCATGGTTACTGTATATTGTTGAAATGCTTGCTTGATACTTAAATTTGTCCCAATGTAAAAGCTCGAAGAAAAAAGAACTAGGAAAGATGTCATTGCAATATAAATTTGATTGAAAAAAATTATCGACATTTTTGTATCAGTTTTAAAGATGAAAAAAGCTTGATTGATACTTCACTGGGATCATTTGTTGAGATGATGTACTACTTGAATTATTTCCTGAGATGATTTACTGGAATTATTTACTGGGATGATTTACTGGAATTATTTACTGGGATGATGTACTACTTGAATTATTTACTCGGATGATTTACAGTAATTATTAATAAACTCGCTTCCCTCTCCCCCCACAGAACGATCTCCCGCCTCCTTATGATGCCAACGCCAAGAAATCCAACTAAACTTCCGGTGCTGTCAACGCTGCTGTTGGTGCTGTCAACGCTGCTGTTGGTGCTGTCAACGCTGCTGTTGGTGCTGTCAACGCTGCTGTTGGTGCTCTCAACGCTGCTGTTGCACATCAGACATATTCCATCCTGTGTTGATATTTTGTCATTTATTGTTCCTCCGCTGGATCTAAAATCAACATTTCAGAACATTTATTCAATATTCTCGACGAGATATAACAAACTTTGTTTTTAAAAGAAAAGAATCTGTTTTCTATTTCTTTAATATATTGTAATTCATAAATTACAGTTATTTTGTTCTATGTTCCAAGCTCTCCTTGTTGTGATCTGGCATCATCTATTGTTAGTTTATTGCACCAATATTGCAATGTTTACTACATCTATATATATCTACTTGTATAATGTATTGTATGAATGTGGGTAGCATATTTACATGAAGCTCGGATCTTATGTTCAACAACCACGTTCAATATCAACGCTATTTCTTCTTCAGCAACAAGTTAAAGCTGGTAACTGTATTTCCAGTGGTCTATATATGAATATTTTTTTTAATATCACCTTAATTGATGAATAATAATAATAATACCTATTAATTGATAATAATAATAACACCTCAGGCAAAGAAAAATATATATAACTCCTCAGTTGGAAGATAAATCCTAATCACTCTTGCTATCCTATAGAGAATATATCCTGATCCTTCCCTGGTTCATGGGGGAGAAAACTGCATATTTCTGCATGGGTTGTTTATGTTCTGATGTACAAAATTAAGATTCACGACACTAATTATCAAGAGAACAATTATTGTTACTGTTCTCCAGGACCTGACTGAAGACCTCGTGGCATGGGCTCATATCTAGAGATAATGGGGCAGGTCTTTCAACTGTAAATCATTATAGACTGAGAGCGATCTTTTTTTGCTCATTACTATTGCACATCGAGACTGTCTCCCCTATAATATGAAAATAATGGGTTATAACCTTAAAAATGAGTTACAATCTTCAAGTGTACATCATTGTAGACTGAGAGGGATCTTCATTTGTTTATTACTGATGCACATGGAGCCCCCCATAATATTGAGATATTGGGTTATAAATTTAATAATAATGAGTTATAAACCTAATAATAAGTTATAAACTTCAAGTGTACATCATTGAAGGCTGAAGAGCCAGCATTTTTTGTGCCCGTTAGCGCAAGCAGCTTGCGGGTAATGCAGGAGTTGCTGTATGTGTTGCGTGAAGCGAGGCCGTCGTTATATGTTCCAATATATAATAGGACCAAATGATCGGTTATAAGGACCAAATGATCGGTTATAGGACCAAATGATCGGTTATAAGGACCAAATGATCGGTTATAAGGACCAAATGATCGGTTATAAGGACCAAATGATCGGTTATAAGGACCAAATGATCGGTTATTGGTCCGATGAATCTACTGATATGTTTTCATTGACATCTGCTCGAATTAGAAGTTATGAAGTTTTATCATGAATATTTACAGGTTCTATCATTGAATTGTCATTATTTTAACTCTAAACCGAATCATTTTGTTGTAATATCATTTCTGATGATAGTTTGTCGCTGTCTTGTACCATTAAACTTAATCATATATTGTATTTTAATCACCTACACCTCGTCAAAACACCTAAGAACTGATGCAATAATCAGGCAATTAGATTGGCTAGCAAATGCATTTTTGTTTGAAATTACAAGCCGTTTATTCCTTAATGTTTACTTTCCATAATAAAAATATGGCCGAGTCGTGCTTCTGTCTGTCACCGATTCTAAACTTTGCAGTTTTCAAGTCTAGCCGGCGGTTTGAACCCGCAACTCGCTGCTCCAGACTTCCTAATCATCCGAGCACCTCCTTTTTTTTGGAGCAAACTCCACGTGAGGGGTTGGGGAGGCCTGGGTGTTGACACATCATTCAACAGCAGCGATGATTCATTCAACATTCAAACATCCCTCAAAGCAGTTAATTAATTGAGCATTTAATTAAATAACTAATTAATTAATTATTTAAGCAGTTAATTAAATAAACAGTCAATTATTTAAGCTGTCAATTAATTAATTAAGCAGTTAAGTAATTATCTTAACACAACACGATAACTTGGATCAAAATAAACAAACATCGTGAGAATATTTTTGTATGAAAGCGTTATTATGAAAATTTTACATTTATACTTAAATTAAAGTATTTGAAAAATAATCGTAATTTAAATTATATTGTTATAAAATTTAAACCATAGCTGCATAAACAAAGTTACACAGTGAGACTTACAATCCCTTAGCTAAGTTCAGGCATCGTTCAACCAGAGAAATGAGTGGGATATTTTGTCCTCTTTGTGACGCACTCTCTTACATCACGTAGCACTGATACGCTTATTGCCAGACCCATAGGACTCTCCATCAGTATCCTCCTGGCCAAAAGGACCCTCCCTATGTAACCTCCATCAGTATCCTCCTGGCCTATAGGACCCTCCATCAGTATCCTCCCTCAGTATCCTCCAGGCCTATAGGACCCTCCATCAGTATCCTCCCTCAGTATCCTCCAGGCCTATAGGACCCTCCCTACATACCCTCCCCCAGTATCCTCCGGTCCTACGTACCCTCCATTAGTATCCTCCTGCCCTATGTATCCTCCCTCAGTATTCCCCAGGTCTATAGGACCCTCCCTCAGTATCCTCCAGGCCTACGTGCCCTCCCTCAGTATCCTCCAGTCCTACGTGCCCTCCCTCAGTATCCCCCCGGCCTACGCACCCTCCCTCAGTATCCCCCCGGCCTATAGGACTCCCAGCGACTGTGTCTGAGGGCGCTGAGGTCGTCGAGCTGGGCAATATCCTGCAGGTATCCTGCGAGCTTGAGGAGCTCGCGGTCAGTGCCCCTGTTCTCGTGGGCCCTCCTGAAGGGGCGGATCTTGAGGCCGTTCTGAGGGTTCATCAGGAAGTTGCGGCGCAGGTCGTCCAGCATGACCGTGTTGCCCGCGTGGTAGTGCCGGTGCTTGCCCCAGATTACGGCCAGCGGCTTCACCTAGAAATGTAATTAAATATTAAATATTTACCTTCATGCGAGCATTAATATATCATGGAATTATTTTTTTGTTTGAGATGAGAGAAGATTTAATCAATTCCATTTCATGGCCAGCGGCTTCACCTGTCAATGTATTTAAATATTAAATATTTATCTTCCTGCGAGCATTCATATAGCATGGAATTATTTGTTTGTTCAGAAGAATATAATTGAGAAAAGATTTAATTATTTTTTGTTCCTAAGAGGATATGAAGTGAAGTTTATTTAGTTAGTAGCATGAGTGCTTCTACATCTGAGGCTGTGCTACATGAGTGGTCGAAGTACATGTAGCTTCCCAAGTACACGTAGCGGCCCAAGTACACGTAGCAGCCCAAGTACACGTAGCTTCCCAAGTACACGTAGCTTCCCAAGTACACGTAGCGACCCAAGTACACGTAGCGGCCCAAGTACACGTAGCGGCCCTGTAACGGCCCAAGTACACGTAACGGCCCAAGTACACGTAGCTTCCCAAGTACACGTAGCTTCCAAATTACACGTAGCAGCCCAAGTTCACGTAGCTTCCAAATTACACGTAGCAGTCCTAGGTACACACTACAGCTACAAGAGCACCTCTACGACGCCGTAGTCGGGCGCCTCGATGCGTATCATGGCCAGGGAGTCGACGTAGAAGACGATCTTGTAGTTGGGGTTCGTAGAGACGCCGAGCAGCTTCATCTTCTCCTGGATCCACTTCATGCTCGTCGCCGACCAGATCGCGATGTCGTAGTCCTGGGGGCAGTGGTAACATTAGTACGATATAAATATGACTCTACATTTGTACAGTATAAGTATGACTTTACATTGGCCCTGGGGGCAATGAAAACTTTACACCATCTACATATGCCTTTACATTTGCACAACCCAAGTATGATTAAAATTTTACATTTGCACCACCTAAGTATGACTTTACAATTGTAAGTATGTCTTTACATTGGCCGTGGGGGCAATGTTAACTTTACACCTCCTACACATGACTTTACAATTGCACCAGCTAAGTATGATTGAAACTTTACATTTGCACCACCTCATTATGAAGTATTCAAAAAAATAGATATTTTCATGATTTAAAACCATTTGGCATTAGATTTACACGAATGATTGGGAAAAATCATTTTATTAATTTGCAACATATAAAACTACATATTATAGTACACACTAAAACCTCTAAAACGACACCAGCAATTGGGCATTTATATAATGAAGAACTAATAAAGGACACCGCCTTCCTCGTAAGGAAACCTATAATAATGGGACAATTTTAATTTAAATATCCAGTAATTAATTTACTTTAAATGTTCAGTCTTGGTTATACGCTTATACCTTATACCTGGCAAAATTGATGGAAATATATTCGTCTTGACAGAACATGGTGACCATAATTTTGTTCATATAACCAGTTCCTCAAAACACAGCCTCACAAGACACCTGGTAAGCGCTGAGCAGGAACTCGTGCAGATAAGGCCTCATAAGCTCGAGGCCATTCTGGCCGACGCTGCGGTGGTCGAAGAGAGTGTAGTCGATGTCGAGCACCAGCAGCTTCTTGCCCGGCCGCATGGGGTTCAGCACCTTCAGCTCGTACTCTCTCACCCGCTTCTCTATCTGCAAATATGGGTTACAATGAAATATAATTGCCTTTAACTAAATCACAGTGATTTTTCATATCGGTTTGTTTAACATGCTTTTTATATTGTTTTGCTTACCATGCTTTTCATATTGTTTTGTTTAACATGTTTTTGTCAAATTCTATTTCTATCTTATTAACCTGGAAAATATGAATCCTTAGTTATTCTTGCCTTTACCTAAATCAGAGTGATTTTTTAAAGGGTATTCCTATGTTCTTCACTCAACTCTATTACCTACTCTCTTCCTAACCTCATAAAGATGGATTCAGGTCGTCAGGCATACTTGCCTTTAATTAAATAACAGGGATTTTTTAAGGTTTGGTTACATTTTTTGTCACTGTAGTAGATTAGACACAATACTTGATAAATTTTTTATATCAATTTTAGCTCTTCTTATGAAAGATCTTCACAAAATTAGTTTTCAAAAATTGTATATATTGAAAAGGGTACAGCTTTACTTACCAGCATTCTAATGGCGTTATAAATCCAACAGGAATAATTCCATTCCATCAAACCTTTGATGATGGCTACCAAGTAGTGAGAATAGTAAGAAAGAAATACAACTATTGTACAGGCAATGCTACAAAACAAGAAGGTATTGATACAAAATCGGTAGCAACGGGAACCTTTTCTATGTAATCTTGACGCTGGTGCACAGAAAGCAGCTTATCCTCGGCAATGTCCAAGTCATTAACAACTTCAGGCAACTCATCAGGGACTGTTGTTGCTGCAACCAAGTCTTCATCTATGCTGCCAACCATCATGATCTGCATGTTTGAAGTTTAAACATAGTAAATGTATAAATAATTTACCAAGAATTTTATTGCTTTTATTCTCAATTAACTAATGCTACAAGACTGGCAGTAGCTGAAGCCTTCATATCAAGGATATATATATATATCTACAGCTATCAACTTACATACCATTGGATTTTTGAAATCATTTATAAATCAATTTTATGTTTCAATTTTCAAGTTGTATCAATAATATCCAATGTTCTCTTCTGAAATCTGAATTAACTGAATTGAGAAACCTTTTTACTGAAAAAATTTTATGTGCTACAGGACCTTGATAAAATATTCCTTGGAAACCTCATATGGGAACTTTTTAAATCCTATGAACAATCTAATTTGCAAATTCAGAAGAACAATAAGAAAATTGGCAATGAGAATTATTCATTCAAAAAATACTGTAGGTATTAAATTCCATAAGATTAACATATATAAAATAAGATTAAAATTGCATGGAGACAAATGAAATACCAGTAAATTGATAGTTTCTCTTCAAAAAAAAACCTAAGGCACTTTAGCCAATGAACATGAATGCATTAATTTTTAAGCTTTCTGACTCATAAATAGCTTGTTTTGAATAAGGAATTTTATTTGAATTAAATTTCAAGCTTTCACAAGAAAATAACCTTCCCAGTCTGCAAATGAATCTAGCAAATTTTTAATGCCTACTTAGGGCTTGCACCAAATAGATTATATTTAAACATAAATAATTTTTACATCCAACAACTGGAAACATACATAGTTATTTGGTTATCATTCTTCATCATTTGACTTAGCAAACAAGACAGTTCTGATGGCCTAGATTAAAATTATAAAAGATTTATCTGTACTCATTTTGTAGTTTTTTGCAGAAAATACAGACTATGTAGAGAGTTAAAAAATTCCATTGAAATAGCCAAGCAACACTGAGAAACAGGGTGGAAGTATAGAATTTCACCCTATATTTGGAAAGCCTATAGCAAACCTTAGCGCCATTCTTCAGTCCCAAGCCCGTCATCAGCATGCTCTCAGAAGCAGGTTTTCCTGGAGATAAAATTTCATCAGAACATTTTGTCTAATAATTATACTTGGATAAAGTATGATATAATATTTTATTGTTAATTATTTCTCATGCTAACTTTAGTATGAATTAGTAGGTCTAATCCTATCAAAATTTAAAAAAAATTATAATTTGTCAGAAGTTGTAAAAAAACAACACTAATATCATGTATAAATAATAATACAAATTATTTTATATTGTTTTGATTCATAAATATGACAACAAATAGATTCTGCAAGACTGCAAATGACAATTGTACTATGAATTGAAATTTATGTGAAATTTTAGGAAATTTGTTGGTTCATACATTCAAGATTCAACAATCAATAAAAATTATCAATCCAGCTGGGTCTCTTTATTGATCCAAAAATATCCACAAAATTATAATTAGTAAGTTCAGTTAATCAGTTTCAGTCATTCCAATTTTACATAACCTAGCAAATATAAGTAGGTAGTACATATTTAACGTTATAATTAAGGGTTTTAATTTTTTTGTTCATTTATCACCATTTCTTAATTTTATGCTGATTAATTCATCATACCTTTGGCTTTGAGATTTATAAGCTTTTGTTTTTCAGGACGAACTTTGGTTTGTGTTTGTATTTCTTCTTTGAATTCAGAAACGGTCATCCCTTCGTAAATATCGATAGGAAATAAAGCTCCATTCCACTTGACGCTCAAAGACATGACAACCGTCAAAGATTCATTTCCTTCAGCTTTTACTTTATCGTCAATGACAATTTTTTCAGCATTGTCTGAAGCTTGGTTAACTGATGCAATTGATGTCATTGTAAGCGAAAAAGATATATCAGAAGAGAAAAAAATTTCCGCGCGACCACATCAATGATCTAGCGGCACTTGTCAGTTTGTAAACAAAGATCAGATGTTTTCAGTGCTGCCACAAGACTTGGTGGAATACCTTTGCACCTGCGTGAAAACTCACAACCTGAAAAAATCTTAAATAGATACGATCTTTTTACCTTATTTTAGTTTTTAGAATGTTCAATTATTTTAAGCAAATATTTGTTACTGATCAGTGAAAACTTTTCTAAAGTGAAAGAAAGATAAATATCTAAACACATCTATGTAACTCTATTTTATTCTCAATTCTATTCATATATAAACTGATTTACGTAAATTCATTTATATTTCAACGTTTGATGATAATTTTCGTTGACTTTTGTAGAATGATATTTATACTTAGAACAGGTGTAATTTCTCTCCATGCCTCAACTCTGGAACTTTTGGTGAAAATGTACTAGAAATCGTACACTTTTGTATATTAGAATGACAATTTTAATTAAGCCTTTAAAACATTTTACACATAGTGTGACCAAAAAAACCTTTTCATAGCTTTATTTATCATATCAAAAGAAATATAGTACTTCACTAGCCTAAGTTCGCTTATACTCAATTAGAAACTCGTCCCAGAACAATTTGCTTACCTGGGATTTCTCACCTGCAGGTCCGGTCACACTGCAAGAGGGGTATGTCCGCGCAATGATCCTCCGCAATTCCAGTAGTCCTCAGACTTCCAGTGTTGTGAGTGGTTGTGTGTCGTCATCCGTGAAACACAAGATCGTGTATCGATGTTTGACTTTACGCTTGCCTCTCTGATCCTTGTTTCATCATATTATTACAAAGAACTATGAAACATTCACCAGTTATTTTATGCCCGTCATAGATATTTTCCACCTCAAGCATAAGAGAATAATATTCAGAAACAGAAGTACTGTGATATTGTTTCTATTTCCGCTTACAGCATGTACGTAATTAGGTCACGTGGACAGAGGAGACTATTTGAATAGAGTCTATAACTGCCCTGACAGGACAGCATCGCATTGTTCAACATTACAAACGTCCACCAATCACTCACTGAGGTCTCTCAGTTATTATTCGTTTCCAGTTATTGACTGACAAATGTGTACTGAGTTTAGAATACAAGTGCTAACGTGGCTGGCTCTGCCTGAGCAAGATTATTTTCTACCTACGTAGCATGCGCTAGAAATACTACTTTATGTGAAACACCAGGCTTTATTCATGAATTAAGTGCTTCATAACCTCCTAACTAAAATATAAAGACAGTCTAAAAAACTAAAGCCGGTTATAAGCAATAGTTTCTTGTACAAGTGTTGGAACCCAGAAACGTTTGCAGTCTTCAGATCTGACAGTTCTAGGGTTTCCTTACCTAATATTCTTGACTGAATATAAATCAATGATAAAACCGGCTTTCGAGTTCATTATGATGTATCTTTCATAAATGGTTCCTGTTGAATAATTTTACATTAAAATGAAAATTAGTTATTTCCAGTAGGTATACAAGTAACAGGGTTAGGCAGGCTAGCTGCTGCGTGTTGACAGTGTACTGTTTACAGAAATCTTATGGCCTGTTCTTTGTTTACACTCTACAAGGCCACGTAAACAAATTACGTTACGTCACTGTTACGTGTCTTAACTCTGAAGGCAAACACACGTTAGGCCTGATATGCTCCGGAATTCGTTAGTATTATAAACTTCATAAGTAACGCTAATACGGTTTTACCACTCAGTTGTAACACTGTTACTGATAGTGACACTGTCACTGAAAGGTCTCAGTGATACCTTTCACTGAAGGGTATCAGTGATACCATCACTGAAGGGGTATCAGTGATACCTCTCACTGAAGGGTATCAGTGATACCTCCCACTTAAGGGTATCAGCGAAAGGTATCACTGCTCAATGGTATTGGTAGTAACACTCGCGTCACCCAGCGTGTATCAATAATGATACATAATCAATAATAATAAGCTGTATCAATAATACACGCCATATACAAAGGTTACTGTATTACTTCGAATCCCTTTAAATTGAAGTAATCCTCGGGTAAGAATAGCATTGACGGCGGTTATTCCATCCATAGTCGAAGGTTTAATAGTTCGTTTACGGACGGTACCAATTGTTGAGCTTTACGGTAGGAATAGCATTGACTACGGTGATCGTCTCGCAGACAAAGGAAAATACATTAGAGTAATGACGTAGAAAGAGATTTTAATCTTAAACATTTTAATATTCATGAACATTATCCTAATGTCTCTCAATTAAAACTAAACTTTGTTGTTAAGAAGTGTCATGTGGGGTCGTAAGCCCCTGTAGGGTCGTAAGCCCCTGTAGGGTCGTAAGCCCCTGTGGGGTCGTGAGCCCCTGTGGGGTCGTAAGCCCCTGTAGGGTCGTAAGCCCCTGTGGGGTCGTGAGCCCCTGTGGGGTCGTAAGCCCCTGTAGGGTCGTAAGCCCNAGGACCAAATGATCGGTTATAAGGACCAAATGATCGGTTATAAGGACCAAATGATCGGTTATAAGGACCAAATGATCGGTTATAAGGACCAAATAATCGGTTATAAGGACCAAATGATCGGTTATAAGGACCAAATGATCGGTTATTGGTCCGATGAATCTACTGATATGTTTTCATTGACATCTGCTCGAATTAGAAGTTATGAAGTTTTATCATGAATATTTACAGGTTCTATCATTGAATTGTCATTATTTTAACTCTAAACCGAATCATTTTGTTGTAATATCATTTCTGATGATAGTTTGTCGCTGTCTTGTACCATTAAACTTAATCATATATTGTATTTTAATCACCTACACCTCGTCAAAACACCTAAGAACTGATGCAATAATCAGGCAATTAGATTGGCTAGCAAATGCATTTTTGTTTGAAATTACAAGCCGTTTATTCCTTAATGTTTACTTTCCATAATAAAAATATGGCGGATCGTGCTTCTGTCTGTCGCAGATTCTAGACTTTGCAGTTTTCAAGTCTAGCCGGCGGTTTGAACCCGCAACTCGCTGCTCCAGACTTCCTAATCATCCGAGCACCTCCTTTTTTTTGGAGCAAACTCCACGTGAGGGGTTGGGGAGGCGTGGGTGTTGACACATCATTCAACAGCAGCGATGATTCATTCAACATTCAAACATCCCTCAAAGCAGTTAATTAATTGAGCATTTAATTAAATAACTAATTAATTAATTATTTAAGCAGTTAATTAAATAAACAGTCAATTATTTAAGCTGTCAATTAATTAATTAAGCAGTTAAGTAATTATCTTAACACAACACGATAACTTGGATCAAAATAAACAAACATCGTGAGAATATTTTTGTATGAAAGCGTTATTATGAAAATTTTACATTTATACTTAAATTAAAGTATTTGAAAAATAATCGTAATTCTGATAATCGTAATTTAAATTATATTGTTATAAAATTTAAACCATAGCTGCATAAACAAAGTTACACAGTGAGACTTACAATCCCTTAGCTAAGTTCAGGCATCGTTCAACCAGAGAAATGAGTGGGATATTTTGTCCTCTTTGTGACGCACTCTCTTACATCACGTAGCACTGATACGCTTGTTGCCAGGCCCATAGGACTCTCCATCAGTATCCTCCTGGCCAAAAGGACCCTCCCTACGTACCCTCCATCAGTATCCTCCTGGCCTATAGGACCCTCCCTACGTATCCTCCTGGCGTATAGGATCCTGCCTATCTACCCTCCTGACCTATAGGACCCTCCCTATGTACCCTCCCTCAGTATCCCCCAGGCCTATAGGACTCTCCCTACGTATTGACTACGGTGATCGTCTCGCAGACAAAGGAAAATACATTAGAGTAATGACGTAGAAAGAGATTTTAATCTTAAACATTTTAATATTCATGAATAATATCCTAATGTCGCTCAATTAAGACTAAACGCGCCTTTGTTGTTAAGAAGTGCCGTGTAGGGTCGTAAGCCCCTGTGGGGTCGTAAGCCCCTGTAGGGTCGTAAGCCCCTGTAGGGTCGTAAGCCCCTGTAGGGTCGTAAGCCCCTGTAGGGTCGTAAGCCCCTGTGTAGGGTCGTAAGCCCCTGTAGGGTCGTAAGCCCCTGTGGGGTCGTAAGCCCCTGTAGGGTCGTAAGCCCTGTGGGGTCGTAAGCCCCTGTGGGGTCGTAAGCCCCTGTAGGGTCGTAAGCCCCTGTGGGGTCGTAAGCCCTTGTGGGGTCGTAAGCCCCTGTGGGGTCGTAAGCCCTGTAGGGTCGTAAGCCCCTGTAGGGTCGTAAGCCCTGTTACTCATTGTGATGCAGAAAAAGTAATACATATGTTCCCGTTTCCAGAAAAGTGCGTCATTAAAATTAAGGCCTAATAATAAATTCTAGAACGTTTTATCATACCTTTTCTCATGTTGGATTAAGTTGAAAAAAATGACATCCATGCGCGGTCTGCGCGGCAACAGATCCAAGTCGTACGACTCGCTCGATAACGACGTGAATGACGTCACGAATGCGTTCAGTGACGTAACAACTCGAGACGATGTCGAGATAACCAAACGTTCGTCAAATAAGTCGAAGACTAACGCGTTCCGACGCAGGATATTCGGGAAGAAATTAGTGTTCAAAGCGGACAACCTAACTCAAACGGTGGAAAGCAACGGCAAAACTAAGCTTAATTCGAAAAAAGGTTCCTCCAAAAGCAATGATGACCGAAGCCTTCCTCATCACGAGGTCGAAAACCCGTTCAACAATAATTTTTTGATTGAACCCGAGTCTCGCGGTTGCCACAAAACAGATGACAACACCGCGGGCGCAATTGACAACACCGATGGACGGGATCATGCTGACTCCAGCGCCTCCCAATTGAGTTTCGGCAGCGAAAATGGAGAAAAATGTGACAAATTCATGACAGAAACTCCGAGGTCTTTATCCATGTCGTCGCTGCCTGAAGATTCAGACAATTCACAAGACTTCGACGACGACAAGTTCTATGTGAAGAAAGGTGGCCATTTTGGCGTCAAATTCGAAAAGAAAGCCAGTCTAGGGACAAGTAAACAGAAGCGGCAACCTAATGTTACCAACAGAAATAGGTTGTCGGATGGGTTGAATCAATTGAAGAAAAATGTTGAACAGGTTAGAAACCCGAACTTGAAGTCGCCCAAGTTCCAAAATTTTAAAGCAGTTTTCGGTAGAAGCAGCAAAGATAAAGACAAAGATAAAAGCGTTGACGTTCACACTGACGCTCAACATGGCAGTCGTTTGACGATTAAAAATGGAGATGATTCAACAGAAGATGGCGGCCAAAGGAATGGTTTTACCCCTCCAATGCAAACCGATCATTTGGAAAGCGAGTCCGAAAAGGCCAAAAAGACTAAAGTGAAATCCAATGGCTTCTCATCTAAAATGAAAGCTGCGTTTGCCTCTATTTCCCCCACGAAGACACCACCGCCACCTAACGCCAGATCCACCGAGCTGCGCGATGCCAAACTTGAAGACGAGTTCGATTTCGACGCCAATTTCTACTCGTGCCTTGAAAACGTCCGAAACGACGAGTTCCCTGCCAACGACAGCACGTCTTCCAGCCATGCCAGCAGCCATATCACCAAACAGAGTGTATCGAAGAGTAAAAATAATGAATCTGAAATGCCTAGTGCTTCCTCAGACCATCTGAGCTTCGAAACTTCAAGATGTAGCGGTGGACTTAGTGATTTCTCATGTGACCCTTTTACTGCCGATTATCTTCAGCCTTTTGATGCTTCTTCTTCGAGCAACTTTGAATCTTTCGACGATAATTTCTGTGCTGTACCGTCCACTAACCTACTTAAATCGTCGTCTGCTAGTCTAATTCATTCCTCAAACACTAGTCAAACTAACCCATTCACTTCTAGTCAAATGAATCCATTTACTGCAAGCCATATAAACCCATTCACTGCCTGTCAAATTAATCCATTTTCAGCCACTGTAATTGACCAGTCGCCTGAACATGCAACTTCCAATAAAAAAATTCAATTTCTGATGACCTCCTCGCCTGAAGGGGGTAACACTGGTGCCAGTGCCGCCTCTACTCCCTCTCTTCCCGATTTCATGAAACCTCAACCAAAAGCTCCCGATGGAAAAGATAAATCAGGTTGTGCATCAGATGAAAAAGCAACACACTCTTCCCCTACTGACGTGGCAAACATTACTTCCATGAATGGCAGACTTTCCAAGTCAATCTCAACGTACGGCTTCATCGAGAACTCCTTCGACATGACCAACCTCGACAACGTGCCTGATGGTCTACCAGGAACAAAAGAGTTTCGGGAAACGGAGCTCCCAACTTCTCGTAGATCCCCAACCGAAAACCTACTATCAGGAAAACCGCTCCCCACCAAAAAACACCAGCAAAGGAACCTGTTATCGGCTTCAAGTTCCAATTTACTGGAGTTGACACCTAAGTTTGATAGGAACAAGATCGCGGGGTCGTTAATGGACTGTTCTCGGCTGGACGAGGAGGCGGACGACGGGGCCGGCATCTCCCGTCCACACCGTCCCAAGAAAAAAATGTTGGCACTGGAGGACAGGGCGACGCAACTCCTCTTCAGGTGAGAATTTAATTATAAATTTATTGAATTATTCGCACTAGTATTATTTGTCTTGGACCAGGTAATGTAAATGCTATTTGTATGAACGTGTTAACGACACACACATGTATACGGAACGCCTGCACCGTGTACAGTCCAGCCTGTAGTAATTATATTATATGTAATATTTCGTATCACATTATATATTATATTCTTTATCATATTTATATTAGTATATGTAGTGTTCATATCATATTTATGTAGTATATGTATATTATATTATAGCCTGATATTCTATGCTAATGGTGGAGTGGACGCGAGTGAGTAATGGGGTAGCGATTTCTAGGGCGTGAAAAGTAGATATAGAACTAATATGTTTATTTCTAAGCATATACCGGTACTTCTATTTATAAATCATAAATATTATATAAACAATAATTAGATTAATTTATTTTGTTAGTTATTGTATATTAATACATAATACTTGGGTGTCGAAATATTTCATCATGCCTGGCCAGAAGCAGATAAGCATTGGAGAATTTTCACAGCTAGCTGAGTTTCGAACCCACAACTCGCTAATCCTATCTTGGGGATTTTAACCATCGCGTTATATAATTCGGGGTAAAATAATTGAAGAAATATTTAATTATTAATGAACTTCTCGGTTGTTTAAATTGTATATTTGTATACGCCACACAAATGTGTATAAAATGTTGGCACTGGAGGACAGGGCGACGCAACTTCTCTTCAGGTGAGAATTTAATAATCATTTTATTGAATTATCCACACTAGTATTATTTGTCTTACATCAGGTCATGTGCATGGTATTTGTATGAACGTGTTAAAAACACACACATGTACGGAACGCCTGCACCATGTACAGCCCAGCCCGTGGTAATATATTATATGTAATATTTTGTATTATATTAAAGCATGATATTTTATGCTCATGGTGGAGTAAATGTTAATGAGTAATGGCCGGGGTAGCGATTTCTATGGGGGTGAAAAGTAGATATTGAAGTAATAAGTTAATTTCTAAGCATATATTTCCGTTTATAAATTATAAATATCATCTAAATATTAATTAAACTAACATATTATGTTAGGTATTAAATATTAATGCATAAAACTTGGGTGTCAGAAGATATCACAAAGTCTGGCCAGAAGCCGATAGGCATAACATAATTTTCTCTGCTAGCTGGGGTTCAAACCCGCAACTCGCTGTTCCTATCTTGGGGATCTTGACATCTCAGCCATCGCGCTGTATAATCCGCAGTAAAATAATTGAAGAAAATCTTTAATTATTAATGAACTTCTCGGTTGCTTATATTGTGTATTTGTACACGCCACACAAATGTGTATACGCAACACACACACGTGTACACACACGTGTACACACACACACACGTGTACACGTAGCACAAGTGCACGCAACCGTCACAGGTGTACACGTGAGTCACAGCTGCATCACACCTGCTACCTTCACACCATCACTCCTCTTATCTATCATCATATCATCTCTTATCCTATCATTTGTACGTATCCTTTTAATATCATTGTAAACCTAGCATCCCTTGGTCTATCATTTTAATGGTGTTATTGCTATGGTATGTGATGATAGTGGATATGATGAGGGATAAGATAGTGGATATGATGAGGGATAAGATAGTGGATGTGATGAAGGATAAGATAGTGGATATGATGAGGGATAAGATAGTGGATATGATGAGGGATAAGATAGTGGATATGATGAGGGATA